GACAGACTCTCGGGGTTAAGGGACCTGGAGTTGCTTACAGACTCTGAGGCCAGAAACCTTGCTCAAACACAGAATCACTAATTTGCAGAACCTCTTGTCAGTGGAGATTTCTCATAAAATAGGCCCCAAGGTCATTGTTTAATTATGCTTTTTTTCCAGGGGAATAAATGAAATTGTTGTTCTATTCCCCCTCCTACATCTACCCTATTTAATTGAGGATACCTGCAGGCATCCCAGGGGCTTAAGTAAGACCTGCCAAAACTAGCTGGGGCCAGTTCCACCACTGCCATGGGTGCAGGCAGCAGGCATGGGGTCCTTGCCAGTGAGCTCACACAGATGCACCAAGTTGCGCACAGCTGGAAACTAACCCTTGGAGGGTTTAAAAAGTCACCTGGCAACTGTGAGACTCCTTGCACCCTGAGTTGCTGAAATTTGATATTTCCTGTTACTTGTGGGACTTGCAGTTGAGGTTATTTCAATTAAATGCACATCTGGGCTCAGCATACCCTACCAGCTTCAGTGTTATGTAATCTGTGAACTTTTGTTTTAGGTAGCTCTAAGTACAGCTGGAGCAATCTGAGAGACCTGGGGTAGCCATCCACTTCTGGGCTGCCTTTGGTTGCCCCTGGTCTTATAAATGATTAAGAGATTAAATTCTCTCATATAATCAAAATACCTCTCTCTCTCTCTCTCTCTCTCTCTCTCTCCACACACACACACACACACACACACACACACACACACACACACACACAACTCTCTTATCAGTGAAAACTTTGACACGAAGTGTTATTTCCAAGTCTGAAAACCCACATTCTGCCAACAAAGAACTTATCAGATTCAGGTCTCTGTGGGGTGGTTAGGTCAAGATTCCACCAAGTATTTGCTAACACACAATAAATGAACATTTCCATAAACCAAAAGCTACACTCACACATCAAAAGTGGCCCTCCTGGCACCTAATTCATGGTCACGTGACACTCAGTCAAGGCAAAGCCAAGTCGCTTCAGGCGATAGCCTCATACCTTGGCAGAGACTGTACTTGCCGAAAGCTTTATAAAGTTTGTTTAGCTCACTTCACATATTTTATTTTAAATAAATCATCCAAACCAAATTTAATTCTTTTCTGTTGGAAAGGGAGAAAGAGAGTAGGCCCCAAGTTATTAAAAGACAGCAATGCTTTTCATACTTTCTTCAGGTCTGATTTTAAGAGGATTTTTTTTCCCCCAATGTTGAGAAAATCCTCATTGACCCTCCAGAACAACCCTAAAAAGACTGTCCTATTATGGGGACTACCACAGTTTTGTGCCTCCCTTATTGGGCCCTACCCACAGAATTGCAAATTACCATCATCACTGACTACTGCAGAGAGGGGCCTATTGAAATGTGTTTCCCATTTAATTCAAGTTTCCTCTTTGCTACTCCTTTCAGAGATCTGACAGGGCCTCCAAACACTCCCAAGACTAAGAAGAACCCAGGCAGAAATAAATTCTGTGGGAGTTTAGAAACACAGTGCAATGCCATCTCTATTAGAAATGATGGAGCCTTCATTTAACCACTAAAGATGATCAAAATAAATGTTAGGAGTATTTGAGCTCTGTAACCAATCTATTTCAGTTTTGTGTGTATGTATAGATTATTGCCTCCTCTCAAAAAAAAAAGGATTAAAGAAATGCAGAGGCATATTTACTAATAATTCAAAACACTTAAAAGTGGATAAATATGATGAAGTCAGAAGTAAGCTTATTATTCAAAAACTGCATGTAATTTCGTGGGCCACACATTTGTTTCTAACTTCCTAGCCATGAAAGCAAAGACAGCCACTTTTAATCAATCAAGTTTTAATTATGTATCATAGGGCTAGGGAATTAAAATACAAAAACATACGCATAACTCAGAGGTTTTTGTTCTTTCTTTTTTGGTAATGTTGTTTTGGTTTGGTTTGGGTTTGGGTACTGGGGATTGAAATCAGGGGCACTTAACCACTGAGCCATATCCCCAGCCCCTTTTTAAAATTTTTAATTTTTAATTTTATTTTATTTTTTTAGTTTCTAAGACAGGGTCTCATTAAGTTGCTTAAGGCCTTGCTAAGTTGCCTAGGTTGGCTTGGAACTTGTGATCCTCCTTCTTCAACCTCCCAACTCACTGAGATTAGAGGTATGAGCCACTGCACCTGGCTGGTCTTTCAATTTTTACATCAGAAAAAGGGTACTTTACTCTCCTGCTGTATCTAATTGACAAACATAGAGAGTAAACCATTGCCACTAACCTCAGGGGGATTCATTTTTCATTCACCCACCCCCTTTCCACTGTTTGGGAGTGTCTGTGGTTCTCAACCAGGGCAATTTTGTCCCAAGAACACAGTTTGAATTGTCACAAACTTGGGGAAGGTGGTTACTACTAGCATGTAGTTGGTAGAGTTCAGAAATGTGACTGTTCAACAGAATTATCTATCCAAACTGCCAATAAGACTGAGGTTGAAATCCTGGAGAAGTAAGTGTGTGTGTGTGTGTGTGTGTGTGTGTGTGTGTGTGCGCGCGCGCGCGTGTGTACATGCCCTTGCAAGAGAGAATTTGTGTCTTAATAAAATATAAATCTTTATCCTGGTTATAGAAAACATTGCCTTAATTTATAGTTTCAGCCTCAGTTTCTCTATTGTAGAAATCCATATCTCAGAAGAGATTTCATAATTGACAGAGGAGGAAAAAAATTAGTCCTCAGGTTTGTTCTGGATCCTAAGTATAATGATAGAGGAATTTCAAAGTAGGAGGTCTTTAACCCATATATAAAGGACAGCAGACTAAGTCTACCTGAATATGTTAGGAAAAGTTGGGCATTGCTTAAAAAACTGGAAGCCATCCCATCTCTTAACTGAATCTGCACAAATGAGCCTCGCTAAATAGAATGTGTTTTACAGCAATGATGGAAGAAGTGCTGGAGAGCGAGTGAGAGTAAACAGATGGAAAGAACACCAAAGGAAATGGAGAAATAGCCATCTGATGATATAATTTAGATTTGGACAGAGAACTGCATGCCTGGGCTCTTCCAGCTCTGGCCTGCTAGATGCAGGTGCAGCCGGTGGCCTCCCAGTGCCCCTCCAGCTGGGTGGCTTTCTCCCTTGCCAGTTGCCTCTCTTAGTGATGGAAGGTATGGGCTCATTTACATGTGTCATGCCACACACGATGTAATAGAACAGGTCACAGACTCAGTTCTATTTGACCAGGCCCATGTTTCTATTCTTCTTCTTTTCTTTTTTTCTAAGTCACCAGTCTTCTAGATATGCAAAGGCCAGCTCATAATGGAGAGAATAATAATGAAACTTAGCTTTGCTCTTAACTATCTCAATAGTCAGTGATCCTTGCAACAGAAAGTCAGGAAATTTAAGATTTGGGCTATTTCCATACGAGGTCACCATGTGTTCTTGCGAAGCTCATAAGCAGTGATCTTGCCTAGCAGCCACATAATGGCAAGTAGAATATGACTGTGCTCAGGCACATTGAAAGGGTGAATTAGAAAATATTAGGAGTCCTGATGAGATCTTTCTGCTTCAATTAGGAGACACTTTATAGGGAAATGCAAACCCAACTTTGGGCCTGAATACAGAGGAAATCTTCATCAACATAGGCTTAAGACTGCTCATCCAGAAAGAATTAAGCTAAAGGCAGCCTGTGAGCCATGTGTAAGCAGTTTTTTTTTTTTTTTTTTTTTTGGGGGGGGTGGGGGTAGGGCGGTGATTAAATCTAATAGTTTATACACATGCTTTTAAATCAACTGATGTGTTAATCATAGTGAATTATTCTTCCTGCATTAATTTCTGAACTCTAAAAGTCATATTTCATTGGCCTCCTTTGAGTTATTTTATGTACTTCATTATCTTCAAAGGGAGGCTCTTTCATTAAATCTATAATTTATTTTATGTTAATTCAACCAGCACTTTTATCCAGCACATAATTGTTTTATAGCTATTTCTAAAAATAGTAATATACTTAGTAGATATATAATAAATGACAATTGTAAGACTCTGCCTATCTATTGTCCAAAGGCACTAGCCAATCAAAAAAAATTTACTCTTAGCAATGTAAACATTGATATTTAGATAAATGGAAGAAATAAACCCGTTCCCATGTGAAAACTGGTTTCAACTGCCATAAAAGTTCACTTCTCTAAGCTAACTGGCTCATTAAATACTTTCTAATAGATTTTCTGGCTTTGTTAATCTTGCTTATCATATATCAAAACTAATTTGACAAGGCATTACTAATCCCCCTCTTTCAATGAAATACTTCCAAAAGCTATCGCAAAATCACATGAATTTGAGGAGGACTAAAATGGCAATTTGCTAATAGATGTAGGCATATATCTACATGTGGGGCCAACATGACACCTGTTGCTATGCTCTGTCCCTGTGATCAGTAGTGCTGTCTCCAGCAGCTTTCAGAATAGGCCGTGTTTAGATAGAACCTTCAAGAACTCAGTTAAATATAACAACTGCAAACCCATTGTCAGCCTGATGACCTCTTGTGATCTCTTTGCCAACAGCAACTGTGTGTGCAGCCAGGTGAAATGGTGAAGAGGTGGGGGTAGGGGTGAGGGAAGAGCAAGTGCAGCTGTTTGGTTTTATACTGAGAGAAGGAAAATCCTTCCTAGATTATGTATGTTTGGTTTTACTGGATATCATTATCTTAGCCGCTGTGACTGCAAATGCTATTAGCAGTTAAAATGTGCATTAAGTTATCTGGTGTTTTTAAAAAACCTCATCAGATCATTTATCTTCTTGATTTCTCATAGCAACAAATTCTGATGGAAATATCCACATTTGTCTCAATTGTGCTTCTGTGAGAGTATTACAATTGATTTAAAGTGTCTGTAGGGAGAGAGGATAATCCCATCCTATACCTACAGAATTAAAATGTGCAGAAAACTCACACCACTATTTTTCTTGTTGTATCATAAAACGTCAAACAAATATTAATAGCATATTTTCAAAGAGATGAACTTACTTTCAGTGCAAATAGGACAGCATCCTTTTCTGTTGAGAATTTTACCCTAATCAGGAAAAAAACAAACAAAAGGTCAGTGCTAAGAAACAGGGTCTGCTGAGGACAAATCTCTTTTTTAAATCTAATACCAGATAAACCAAAGAAATCAGTCCAAGCTGTATTTGAACTCGATACCCAGATGGTGATGATGCTGGTGAAAATGAAGTTTCAAGTATCAAATTTTAAGACCCGGCAAAGTCATTCAGGAAGCCTTCCTGTTTTTATCCTCCAAGAAATATGAAACCTGAAGGACTCACTGGCGCGATTTTTCTCACATGGAGGGAAGATGGAGACAGTCTGGGCTCAGCATTTACACTGATATCCAAATTAACTCCTCTGGGGACCAAGTACATATACATCAAAATGGGAATTGTCTGTCAATCCATCAGACCATCCATGGCCTTCTGTCTTCACTTAGTAGAGGAGCCCAAACAATAACTAATCCAAGCTTACAACTCATTGGTCCTATGGATACCGGTGGGCCACCGATCAAATTCAGTCAGACTTCTTCTTTCCAACTTAAGTCATTGTTATGCAAAGTCAATGAAGCTGAGAGTTCTGAAATGCTGAGTAATTTTCCATTATCTTTCTGGAAATATAGTGCAATATTCTACATTGCCTGTCTTTTCATTTTTTAAATGCATGACATTTAAAGGAGGAAATATATCAGAGAATGGCATTGCCTTATCTCAGACTCAGTAGTTAATCACAGAGAAAAAGAAATGCAGAAGTGATTGACATTTAGAGAGAATTTGCGATATAACCAACACCATACTAGATATTTTATTTATGTTACCTAACATCAAGTTAGTTATAAGGATTTAAGGAGATAATACCTGTAACACAGTGTTTGATGAATATTAGAGATTTTTATAATCATCATTATTAAGATGTACAAGAATGTTGTGAGCTGTTTCTCTTTTCATAGAAGAAAAAAATTGATGTTATGAAACACAGTGGTAGAATACAAAACTAAGCCTAATTTTGGTAACCCTAAAGGTCATATTCTCTCCATTGCAGATATTTACCCTCTGTAGTTCTCAATATTTATGAAAATTGAACATTTATCAATTATCTGCTATATACTGGACAGGGTGCTATCCATTTCTCATACTTTATTTAATTTAAATTTCACGACACCACTCCAAATGCAAATGACTTTATCCCCTGTTCACAGGGAAGCAAGGAAATGGAGGCCACACAAAGGCTGCCCAAGGTGCAGCACACAAAGCTCATACACTACTCATTCACTACTGGCCATTTGCATCAAGAGTAGCTTCAGGTAAGTCAAGTAAAGCTATGAAATCAGCTTCAGGTGTTTCAAAAATAAACAATTACATTGATTTTTTAAAAAAAAATTAATTAAATTTATTAAAGAACCAGAACTAGGTCTCACTCATTTTTGTTTTTTACATTAACTAGACCTAAAATGGTACATTAAAGGCTATGATTACTTTGAATGAAAATTAAAATTCAGCCCCATTCTACCATCCCCTCATTTGGAGGCATCACAACAAATTCTCACTATCTAAAGTTTTGTTATCTATCACCATTTGGCATGGAGTTCTCCTTTAATTTTTCATGACCAAAAGCAGTTGAAGACAAAGCCAAATGAGGTCAGCCCAGGCTCACAGAATGGTGTCCCCAAGATGGAGTCAGGTGCTGGATCCCAATGGAGAAGAGCTGTTTAAAGTCAAGTTCCTAACCAAATGTGACTTGACTCTCAACAGCTGCATCTTGGCAGGACCTGCCACCTCCCTTCTTCAGAAAATGCAAGTAGCAGTGGTCATGTTATTAAATCAGTGGAAAATAAGTCAAGTAAAGCTACGAAATCAGAAAGCCTGGATTATATGGAATGAGCTGTGAAACTGGACACACTGTAGCCTCATCTTTGAGAAGGGTCTAGTTGCCACCTCAGAGGAGTGGTCTTAGGAGTTAAATGAGACTATTCCTGTGACTACAGAATAGGTCTCAATACATATCATTAGTGCCCTTGCGGAGTTGCCAGCAAGAGCAGACAAGGAATTCAACCATAAAATCCTTCTTCAACAAGATGCACGTAATACTGGAAAAAGACATGTGTGGCAGCCAAGAAGGATGGAGCAGGCAATACAGAAGCTTTCTTTTTTTTTTTTTTTTAATTTCCCCAGGCGACATAGAGGAGAAGTAGGTTTTTAAAAGGATCTCCATGGTAGAGCTAAGCTGTCTTCTGAAGACCTCGGGCTGGCTTCTGAGAAGGGAAATTGTGAACCAGGGGACCCGCTGGAAAGATGCCCAGGAGCAGAAAGGTGGTCCCTGGGGTGGGAGCCTGGTCAGGAGCACACATGAGGACATGGAGGGGGTGGGGCTGGAGAAAGGGCTTCACTTGGAGGACTGAATGTGCCCAACCCTGAATGTGGCCCACAAAGAAGGAAAGCTAAAGAAACTTTGGTGACATAAAGAGCACTGACCTCCCTGCTACAAGAGGACAATGAAAACCATCAACCCTGACACAAGTGGCAGAACTCAAGTGAAGCTGGAAACTCCACCGCGGCCTGCTGAGGCGAGTTACTTGAGCCACCAGCTTGGCACCGCATACTGTTTTTGTCTTGTACAATAAGGAAGCCTATTATTACTAACATGTGCTGCAAGAGTTCATTAGCAATGAGGGTTCCCCAAGGACTGGCATAAATGATGTGATCCCATTTTTCCTAATGAATATTTATAAGCAGACCATGTTCAAGTCTACTTATTGTATCTCTCTTTCTCTCTCTCCTTTTTTTTTTCTTTTATGGGAGGTTTTCAATTTTATGTCTAAGGCTTTTTAAAGCAAGACTAATTAGGTTTTTTTTTTTTTTTCCTTTTTCTCTCCCTCCTTCATTCAGTTGTGCAATGGCAACAGCTGTTGTTTTTTTGTGCCTCATTTGGCACTCAAGTAAAAACAGCAACTTTTTGTTTATAATAATAACAGATGTGAATAAAATTAAAAGTTGTCTATAACAGAGAAGAGAGGACATGGCCTGAATATATGGATATGTTTTTTTTTTTTTTTTTCATTCCCTGGAAGGTATTGAATAGGTTTGACATTTTCCCAAATGCATAAAACCTTGAAAGGTTTTAAGTAGCTGAGGTGAATTTAATGAAGCTCATGCTTTAGAAGATAATGGTTGCTTTATTCAACACACTGGACTATGGGTTTTTGAAAAGATATATTTCCATAAGGATGCTATTCCATCTGGGGCTAGGATGGGGGTTAGGGTTAGAGAGAGAAAACCTCAGCAAAGGGGCCTGGGCTGCTGCTAGACAGGAGAAGCCCTTTGGGGAATGATTAATAAATTTTTTTTTTAAAAAAAACACATATTCCTTTGGCTATGAGCAGAAAGCTGTGATTTGAGAAGGGAGAGAAGGAAAGAAAAGGCAAAGATGGTTATGATGTTAAACAGAAAACCCAGCAAAAGAAAACAAGGGAATAAATTCAACCAGAGTAGAAGTTGTTTCCATAAAGAACTGGGAGAAGACACTAAGAAGTAGGAGAGCCCAGGTAAGAGCCAGACAAGTGGCATTTTCATGCAAGGCTAAATTGTGAGTGGAAACTGTAAAAAAGGAGGCTTTATAAGAAGCATCTCACTGTTGGGGAATGTGAACACTTTGGGAGATCAGAGTCTGTTCAGAAGATGGCATGAGATCGTGCCACACACGGTGCAATTCCCAAGACACTAAGGTAAAGAGAAAGCCAACCTGAATTCCAAACATACCTGCGGGCAGCTGCTGATGGGAATGCACTGCTTCTTGCGGCACTGGGTCTTGCCTTTCACACAAGCACAGATGGTGCAGTTCACAGAGGACCACATCTCTCCATCCTGCACGACAGAGCACAACATTCTGTTATCAGCTGAAGGCTGCAGGAGCTAAGCCAATGGGCTGAGATTTCTCCATCCAGGAATGCATGTCTTTGTCTTACCCTGAGTCAGAAATGCCATCCCTGGACTAAGTGACTCTGTGGTATCTGTCTATTTTTAAACAATTTAAGATGAAGATTCGGGTTAAAATACATGTCATGTGTGACTAAAAAGGACAAATTAAAAAAAAAAAAAGCAAAAAAATAAAAAAAGATAAAGATTAGGGGGATTTTAGGATGCACACATTACGTGTATGTATGGTGTGTGTGTGTGTGTGTGTGTGTACTCCCTCCTAAATATAAAAAGAATTCTTATACATCTAAGTCTGCATCTGGCACTTGCTCCTCATGCATTGTGTAGTTTTACCCCAGGAGACAACAAAGTATGAATTTTTGTACATGATGTGATTTTTTAAAAAATCTAATTTTCCTCTTTTTGATAGGATTGAAATGTGTAAGTTATCCAAGGCACCAGCAGTTGATTGAGATGTCTGCAGGGGTTGCTTTATACCCAGGTGTACCATGGTTCCGGACCACAGTGAACATGAAAAGAATGGAAGTTAATTCAAATGACCTCCAGTGCCTACTGATATCTGATCAGTGAGCCATCTGAAAAAGCAGAGCCCAGACAAAAGATTCCAATATCCAAGCATAGCTTGACCTTGCCTGGCTGGCACTTTCCAGCCAAAAAGTTGGGTAGCACTTTGGAACATTCCTAGACTAGACCCTTGCTCACAAAAGGAGCTACTAGAGGAAATTCTTCAGTTCACTGAATTTTATAATATCCAGTTTCCAAATGCCCAGTCAGAGAAGAACAGGTAGATATGTGCATCCATGCTTGTGGGTTAAAAAAAAAAAAAAAACACAGACTACAGAGTTAGGCCTAATGGAGGGAAAAACAAATAAGGATTCCTTCCTGGGCTTGTAGATCCAGAAAAACAAGTTCAGATCTTTGGTGATGCCTCCTTTTCTTCCTCTTCCTCACTTTTTAAAGCTATATTAAGGACAGCCTACCTTCTGGTGCCTTTCAGATGAAAAAGGCTTGACTGACTCTGTCTTAGAGGACACCTCTACTTCTCTGAGTATACATTTCCAGAATGCGGGGACCCTGTAAATTATTTCAGGCCCCAGTCATTCCAAAAAACCTTTTTACAAAATGACTTGAAAGAATTTTGTACAAAACACCATCATGATGGTGAATCTATTTTATCTTGGTGTTCTGGAGGCCAAGGGGAACTGTGTAAAGAGGACAATGAGTGATTCTGACAGTCTGGTGTAAATACGACACACCCTGCATGCCCCTTTGCTGGGTGTGACACATCATGTCTTCTTGCAGATTCCATGAGAACTAAGACTTCTCCATCCAACCAGGTCAGTGTAGTAGAAGTCTGGCTCAGTGCAACATGCCTGAGGAGCTTCTACAACTGACTTGACTCTGGGGCTCTCAATTCTCATGCATACCATGAAGTGACATCTTTGAGTACAGCTATGCCTTCTATCCTTAAGGAAAAGACACTAGATGGGAGATGGGAATTCCTTGGAACAAACCAACAAGGTCATTGCACAGCTTTTCACTTGTGGCCATCAAAAAGTAACATCAAGCATACCTGAGGGGGTATCAAATGGCCAACAGACAACCCTCTGAGTTCAGCTGGGGTAGGCCTCTCCCCTTTGCTCAACTATAGTGCTAGTCACCTACCCCATCAGTGTCCTCACCTAAATATCTTACCGATAAGAAAACTTCTCTTTGTAAAAGAGTATTTTTGAAACACTTCTAAAAGCACCAGACTGAAGATCCATCAGGGTGTGGACTAGGGTCATCATCTTAACAAGGGGCCCTGAGTATACCCAGCTGAATGAGATGCTCCCAGACATTTGTACACCCCAAGGACACCATCCATGGGACATGTTCCGCTCAGCCCCAATCACTGGCTGATCACCTTTGCATGGGCAATAATGCACTATGAGTTTGAAATATTCCAGTACAAATAAAGCCAAAGGCAAATAATTTTTGAACAGTTGATCCTCTTCTACTCTGTACTCTTAATTCTAAGTGTATATATGTGTATGTATGATAGTGCAATAGAAATGAATGCACTGTATATACACAGATGTATGTATATATATAAACAAATTATAGAATAATTCAATATGTATGATGTCTGAAGCTTTTTAATAGCCAAGATAGTACAATAATTCCCATAAAGTTGGCTCATGACATACATACCCGGAAAATCTTGTTTCCAAACTTGCACATTTTAACATCTTCTGGAGGCACTCGAAGAAGGCACTCTTCACAGCAGGCCTCCTTGGCTTTGTCACAGCTACCAGGGGGAGAGCACTTCTTCTTACATACCACTGTAGAGTCCTGGGGACCCAAAGGCAAATTAGAAATTACAAATGACTTTCACCTCTACCAAGCATCCTACTTGGCCTTCCCTTAACAACGCACAACTAACTCCTCTAAAACTTATTCTGTAGGTACCATTTTTAATGTGTTGCAATAAATCTTTAATTCACTTCAAAATGCTACCTGTTGATTAATATCTGACCTGGACTATGAGGGCGCTGTGGAGCATTTGGCACATACTCCTAACTTCCAATGGTTTGTACCTTGTGCTCAAGAAACTGATTTACTCCAGCCAGTATGTTGGCAAGAAAGCTCCGTTCACCAAGAGCCAGCCAGCTTCCTCCTTGCCTTCTTCCTCTTTCACATTCTGCATTAACAGAGCTTTCTTGAGTCTATTCCTTGGCTGTATGTCACCATTTAGCATTTAACATAAAAACAGACATCTTTGATCAAAGAGTAAAAATTAAGAGCCAACATACCACTTCAAGATGAAAAGTGCTCACATGTGTTCTATGTTCATGAAGAAACTGAATAAATAATTCCAAAACTGGACCTGGGTTCTAGAGCTCTACTGTAAAAGACATGACCTTGACCAGGCCATTTAGCCTCTGGAGGATACTGACTTATATCTATAACGTAAAAGAACATGGTTTGATTTTTTTAAAAATAAAAATGCTATTCTACTGATTACTTCTTAGGCTGACTGTACATATAAAAGTAAAATGACACATAGGCATTATTAGAAGCCAACTTATAAATTGAAAAAAAATTAATTCTTTGTCAAACCACATGTCTTGATTTCTAGTTTGAACAACAGGGCATTCACCAGCTCTCAGATCCTGCATAGATCACTATGAATCTCCCAACTGTGTGTGTGTGTGTGTGTGTGTGTGTGTGGTGTCACCCACTGTACTGTGTGCCTAGCACTGATTAAGCAATAAGAATACAAAAACGAATGAATGTATTTCTGTCCTCAAGAGGCCTAGAATGTAAAAGGGTAGTTAATCTTGTAAACAAATTAGTTGTAACAAAATGTGCCACACAGAAAGTGTAAAAGTGTAGAGATATAAGGGAAAGCCTCTCTGGAAGAGATGATATCTGAGATGATCTATCGTGGGTGAAGAGTGTACTAATCAGATTTAGAGAATGTGAGGGCCTTCAGGTAGAGAGATCATCAGATTATAAGGCAGGGAGATCTGAAACCATACTAAATTCAAATAATTATGAAACAGTTTTCTGCACCTGCCCTGGAAATCTGAGAAGCACTGGATGAAGATGCTGGAGAGGGACTCTCTAAGCTGACAGAAAATAATACCAGTTACCCACAATGATGGCAGCCTGATTCTTCAAGCATCCACACACTCAAGGTAACTGTGAATTACTACTCTGATAAGCCAGGCTCTTAAAGAAGTATTAATTACAGTTATTATTGTGTATTGGGATATATTATCTATTACCTCTCACAGAATCCATGAGACCCAAAGTGCTGTTCAGGGGACACCTGGCTCCCCGGCAACCGAGAGAGTTAGGAATGGGATGTCTTTTGGCAAAGGCTCAGTTGCCCCAGAGGAAGCTGTAATGTGTGAAGTTTCTAGTGGGGAAAAAAAGTCCTTAGGACAGAAGACAAACCCAATGGGAGGAGCTGCTATACATTTAGCATAGGAAAATGCAAATCATAGGAGAAGGAAGGCACCTCAGGGAAATATTCTCAGGCTTGGGGTTTTCTTTATAATCTTTGTCAGAGAACAGAGCGTGCAGACCTTACCCAGCCACCCCACTGAAGTGGTGCATGCTACCAAACAAAGCCTGTCTCAAGTAATCAAGAAGTCCATTGGATTAGACAAAGGGGAATGAAGGGAAGGAAGGGAGAGGTGAATAGGAAGAAGAGTAGAATTAATCGGACATAACTTTCCTGTCCTTGTATTTTAACACACAACCAGGGTAACTCTGCATGTACAACCTCAAGAATAGGATCCTAATTAGAATAAGTTATACTCCATGTATGTATAATGTGCCAAAATGCATTCAACTGTCATGTATATCTAAAAAGAAAAAATTAAATAAAAGAACTTCTAAACTCTAATCCTACCTATTGACTCATACCAACATTTAGCAAAGCTCGTGTTTTCCGTCTCTAGCTCTTTAGCTATTAAAAATAAAACAATAGCAGCCCTCACCACCAAAATATATTATTCAAACTTGTGTCACACAGATGTATGTGTTAACTAACTAATGAATGATCCTAAAGCCCTCCATGATAAATATTTCTCTTCTTGGTTTCAAATAAAATACACTGCAGAAGAACAGGTTATGAATATGTGATGCATGTCCCTTTAGAATTCTGAAGCTGTGGAATTCTTTCTTTACTTTGAATTAGACTTCCAGTTGCCTTTTGAGAAAAGTGAGCAGAGGCTTAAGTAAGACATGGTACAGTGAACAACACATGAATATTCTTTCCAAACTGCCAGGTTTATCTCTGTGGTGAACTGTAAATGTATGCTTTTTTTTCTCTTGAATGTGATTAAAGCCATTTTCATTGGCAGATATGTTGCAGAATTAATTTTGGATAATTAGAGCCAGAGAACACTGCCACGAGTATCTGTCTGACTTTAGAGAATCCTCAGGATAGCCCTTCAAAGTGTGGCTCTCACCACCAAGAGCTAACTTGTTGATCCTCAGAAGATGACAGTGAATTTAAAGTGGGACCTCTGTATGAACTTCCTTGTGACCTTGAGCATAATTTTACTTCTAAAATGGCACCAGTAATGCCCCACCCCCTATAAATAAAACACCATTGCCTTGGCTTTGACACTGAAAACCCAAATGTCTATCTATATGCCACGGCCCCTCCCAACAGTCTTACCTTACAGGTGCATGCTGTACAGTTGTCATACAGAAAAGAGGATCCATTGTCATAAACATCACTTCGAAAGAGGCAGCTCCCAAAAGGAAGATCGAACACTTTTCTCTGACCTGGAGGGAAGCAAGAGCACAGGGTAAGGAAGCCAGAAGCCAGGGACGTCTTATTTTGTCATCAACAATTAGATCACAGAACTGTTAAACACTCTCATAAGACCAGGTAAAACTGGTGCTCAAAAATAGAGACGTAGGTCAGATGTGCCCAGGAGATCCCCCGGAATCATTTATTTAAAGAGTCATTGTTTAAAAGCCTGATTCCACAATGAACCTGGCAAGTCTGACAAATCATTATTACATGTTCTTCATTGAGAACCAAGATGTATTAGATACAAGCAGCCCTCATTGGGCTTATAGTCCACTAGGAAGCAGAACACACATAATATCATTTCATTCCAACAACATGGTAAGTTCTAGAAAGAAGCCAACATGGGAACTGTGGGGAAAGGGAGCTCACATAAGACTTCTTGGAGGATGTGATGCCTGAGCTACTTCTTAAAGAACAGGTATCCCCCAAATTAGATATTAGCAGGAGGATAGACAGATGTGGACACAGTCAAGGTATCTCAAGGACTAGAACTAGCAAAAATAACTAATTAAATAGCACCTGTTAGGGTCTAAACATTCATGTCCCCACAAAACTCAAATCTTGAAACCCAAGCACAATGTGCTGATATCCAGAGGTGGGATTTTGAGAGATGATGAGGTCATGAGGGTGAAGCTTTCATGAATGGCATTAGTACTCTTATAAAAGAAGCCTAAGATGGACCCCTTATTCCTTCTACCATGTGAGGACACAGCAAAAAGGCATCAATTATGAGCCAAAAGTGGGCCCTTACCCAGACACATAATCTGTGGGCTCCTTGATCTTGGACTTCCCAGCCTGCAGAACTGTGGTAAAAATATTTCTGCTGCTTGAAAGCTACCCAGCTGACGGGAGGTTACTGTAGCAGTCTGAACAGATTATCACAGACTCTCAGTTAAGAGAGGACACAAAGGCATAAAAGGCAAATCTCAATCAAAAGGTGCAGAGAGGCAGGACTCAATGTCCACAGGCCAAGTGTCCCAACCTTCATGGGCATAGTGTCTCCGCAGAATTATTTTGGTTTCTCCCTGATATGAAGATTGGACTGACAATGAAAAGGACCCAAAAAGCAATCCTAAATAAGGAGTAAAATCCAATTCCTCCTTTCTTTCAACATTTGAGTATCTATTCCCTAAAGCACATCAAGATGATCTCTAAAATGTTACTTTAATTTAAGACTAAGAAAACAACAATCACATTCACTCATCAAATTTAAATTCACAATCCTCTTTCTCTTTATTAAAAAAATAGATTAGTAGCAATATCTATCAGCAAGTCCAATAAAATGCTGAAAATGCATGCATAAATACATACTAAGTACTATTCTCAGAATCAGTTTTGTTGAAAATACCATTAGTGGGAGTTTAAAATTTAAAAAAAAAAAAAAGCCAGCTTCTTATGAGACTCAACCCAAAGGCCAAGATGCTAAAGTATAATGCAGAACAGCTAAATAATTAGTTTGGTTCTCACTATAAGAAATAAATGTGTTAGCCTTCGAAAGATGACTAGTGCATTATAATTCAGGTCCCCACATATGGACTCCCTTATGACCTGGAGTGTTATTTCTCCTGTCCTCACTAACATCACTAATAAAATGGCATCAACAACACCACTGTGTCATATTACCACTTCCATCTGCAGTGCTCATACTAAAGTATACAATGAAAACTCTTCCACAGTTAGACAAAATTTAGTATAATCATTGCATTGCCAATATTCCAATTAACACAGGCATACTTATGTGCACACAGAAGTCACGAATCCCTTGAACTTCCTGAGAACTTATATACTAAATGTGAGGGTTGCCTTCAAAATACAAAATTCAACTTTTCCTTAAATATTCCTCCAGAGAATTCCTCCAGAGTTAGCCAAAAAAAAAAAAAAAGTCAGAAAGCTATGTATCCTGAGTCCCATGGATTTGGCCCATCCCATTATAATTCCTTCTGTCAAAACACACCTTAATTTTAGGAAATTATAAAAAATATCCCTGGAAAGTTTTATATTTGTGTTTAGTGCACAAAGGATGGTGAAATTATTTTTCATAAATTTAAGCATTATTCTCTTTTAAACTATCCACCAGATATATTTCTGTCCATTAAGAAGTTAAAATAAATGTGCTTCAGTTGAAGAATTTTTAAAATTTTAATCACCAGACTTGTCTTTTGCCTATCTTTTCTCTGTGTGTGCTTCAGGTATTTTGTAAGCAACCTCGAATCCTCTTTGGCAAAAGGCAAAAGACTAGATACTATCCTCTGTGAAGAAGCTTTCATCTCTACCAATCAAAATGCATCTTTTTCATGGCTGAGGTCCATGTTCCCTCCCCAGAGGTTGGCTACCTCTTAGAACAAATGGCTCTTCCTCTTTTCCCACAGACTAGTGGTTGCGCTATCACTACTGTGCTCAATATTGTTGAACACGTAGACAGATGGCTGGATGAATGGGTGAATGGATCTATTGATGGGTCAATCTGTCAATTGATTGCACAAACAGATTCTTCAATGTTTTCATCCTCCTGAACAAACAAAACCAATGGCTTAAATTATTTGTCACTAAAATATAAATTTAACCTATAACTATGAATATAAAGCTCTTAGCACAGTGCCTGGCACTCATTAATATACCCAATAAATGGTAGATGTTAACAATTATTATTATTAATGGTGATATAATTCAAATATATGGGTTGGGTCACCCTGAGATGAGCACTGGGTACTACTCTGTATATGCTGATCTCTGACAAAACCACTCATTAAAACTGAGAAAATCAAGGAAAAGAATGTTGTAATGCAAGAGGTAGAGATACGTCATGTGCAGAAATCCTGGTCAGGGGAAAATATAAGAGCAAATCAATACCCAACCAGTCAAATAATTAGACAAAGATTTCAGCATTTACAAAGCATCCTCGTGTTTACTTTTTTCCTTCTGTCTTTTGTTGTGTGTATATGTTTCAGTTCACCATCAAAGAACACGAAATCTTACCTTAATCCCAAATTCATCACGGCCCAACTTAAGATAAAACATTCCAGGGAGTGGTTCTGTGTCTCCTTGGACAGCCTGATTTAAGCCATTGCCACATCATTCCTCTGTGGTTTAGCCTAACCAAAAAAGCTCTCATTTGAGGGAATTGTGATTTTTCAAGTTTCCCAAAACTCACTGTTCCTTTTGTAGTCCATCTTAAAACCACAAATGATCAGAAAAATCTGCATTCAATACAACAACCATTGCTCATGTGGGAAACTTCTAAGTTGACTTAGCATGCCCAGAGAATCAGCTTCAAAGCCTTAATCAAGCTTACTTATCTTTGAGGCCTGCCTGGTCCAAACACCACTTCCTTTGTGATGGCTTTTCTGCTTAGCTCGAACAGTACTTCTGCCATGATCCTCAGCCAGGTGACTTCTGTCACACTGAACTAGCTAATTTAACTCCAGGAGCACAAATACACATTGGCAACCCAGAAACATGCATATGGAAATGCCTTTTACAGGGTGTGTCTAAACAGTTCTTTTTGTTCTTCTAATTATTTCAAATTTACTCCAAAAGTGTTTTCTCACGTATCAGACAGGTAAATGTTATTAGATAAAATTACAGTGGAATCCCTCAAAGAGGAGAAAACTATTTTAATTTAATAAAATATCTCCATTTGCAAATTTGATTATAAAAAGAGAATAGACTTTGGAGTATGGCTCTAGTAATCTGTGAATGATAGAAAGAAATCATCAGGAGGCTTTGGAGTTGGAGAAAGCAAATTATGAAAGAAAGAAGACTCAAGGAGAGGATGTGAATGGTAACTAACAAGAGACTGGAGCCCAAACAGAAAAGACAATCAGTGAAATTTTCCCAAAATCAAAATAATTAAGACCTTTTTAGAACAAGGGGACTTAATATTTCATTTCATGGTGTTCTCATGATTCTTTATAGATTATTCTTTGAATAATCATCCTTGTTGGATTCAAACCTCAATAAAATATGTTAAACAATCTTCGATTCAATGGCATCACAAGATGTGAAAAAACTGGGGACAGGGGGGTCTCTGAAAGAAAAAATGGTATAAAAAATTATAAAAAAGAAAATGGAAGCGAGATCAAGAGGAATATCAGGAACATGAACACAAACCCAGAGGTGATTAGGGACAAAGTTAGGCCCCCCCAAGGATCCCTAGAGATTCTAAAGAAATACTGCCTTCTCTGTACAATAAAATTGATAATAACTCCCACATGACACACAGGAGTTCTATTTTTAGAAACTATATTTCACAGCTTCTTGGAAAGATTAAATGAGGGAAAAGCACATAAAATGTCCCTCGTATGTTGCCTAGGTTGGTACACACCAAATGCTCAATAAGAAAATGCTTGAACTTTCTCCTTTTTGACTATTATTCATTTTTCTCTTCCAAATCTCTCATTTTCTGGCACGCTATCCTCCCCTGAGCTTTGGCTTCTGCAGACAACACCAGTCTACATTCTTCCATACATTTACTTCAAATGCTCTGAAAGTATGTTCCTACCAATAATCATAAGGCCCAATTAAAGAGAGCTTCTTCAGTACTGTTCTCACCACATGGGACAAGGTCCCAGGTGGTCTGGTGTACTGGGTTCCAAATATAAGGAAAGATAAGAGCAGCCTCTTTGGCAGCCTCAGATGAGAGCCAACCCCTGTTTACACCTTCTACTCAGGAGATTAGAAGGAGCCATTGTCTCTAACAAACCATGAACAAGACAACTTCAGAACCCCAAGAACCCCAAATAACAATCTGTATCAATACTCAGTCGAAACTCTGGAAAAAAATTGCATTGTTTTTTGACCTGAAAATAGTCACTCACCCAAACATTTGGGGCAGCACTGTCCTGGGGGTGTGTGACTAAGGTGCTGGGGACAAGAGAGAATGGGACAGACTTCTCTCACGCACTGTGTCCTGCCTCCCTAAGAAAAGAGAAAGAGAAAAAAAGCACATTTAGAAAAGTCAGTGCATACAGATTGTACAACCAAGATATCTGGAGCAAACCTAAGGCCCTTCCCTATTATTGGGTACCTGGGGTGACTGCTCAGGTCCATGTAATTCCTCCCAAGCATCCTTTTATCTTCTCCATAGGCTCTATGAACTGCAGATGCAAAAAGACTGCCTCCCAAGAGATGATTCCAAATGGCATCACCTCCCCCAGCCCCGCCCACTACCACCTTTCTTCATTTTTTCCCTTCTCAAGACCAGCTTCAGGTGGGTCTAACAAACAAACCATCTCAGTTTGCCTAGAATTGGAGACTTTCAATCTTAAAACCAGGAAAATTTCATGCAAACTAGGATGAGTGGGCCACCCTAAAGGTCAGTACCCTTCTTACCACTCATTCCCCTGCAAGCAAAGGAACCCTCTGTATTTATTGAGCCTTTTCCTCCTCTTTCTGACTCCCAACTTTCTGCAGTTCCTGCAGACATCTTCCTGCAGGAAGACCTCACTGTCTGCCACAGCTTGAAGGTGTCACCGGGATGGCTCACTGAGGGTCCAACTAGAAGATGTGGCCAATCTGCTGAAAATTGATGGCTCTGAACATTGTTTAGTAGAACCATCTCCCTGGATTCCAGCTAATCAAATCTGTTTCCATTAACTGATGGTAAGGTTATGAAGATTAATATTGGACGAATGGAAAGAGCCTTAGAAGCCCATGGAAGAACTTTTCGAACCTTTGAATATTTTTCCTACTTTCTCATTCTCATTGTTGACCCTTTCTGTTCCTCAGCACCCTTTACTTCTGACACCCCTTCATTATCCTTGGCTTCCCTGCTTTCTCTGCCTAGAAGTATCTCTTCTCTCTCTGGAATGCAAGATGCATCCTTATGCCCTTCTTGTCCCTTAGAGGAGAACATGCTTTTCCAGCCTCAGCAAATTTTAACTGCTTATTCAGAAAGCTGGGGCAGAGAAAAAAAAATACTTTCCAGTTAATTTATATATAACAAACCTGCAAGGCTGACTGACACCTATTCCTTACAATATGAATTACTATGAACTTCATTTATAAGTTTTCTTTTTTTAAAGAAAATATGAAAATTCGATAAACAAATTATAAGACTAATAGAATTTCAGTGGATTGGCTTGTCCAGGATTTGAGCTAGAAATCAAACTAGTGGACTTTCAGGTATCCATTGTCATGAGTGGATAATTTATATCTCAGGGGACCTCAGGAAAAGAGGAACTTGAGGCTCAAAGAGCCTTAGGTCCATCAAGGGAATGACCCCAATGTTAGACATTTCCTCACACCTTCTGCATGAGTAGCAGGCATTAGCTTTGACCTTGGGGATCCTATTCATTTTCATCCTGGCAAACTGCTGTCACCTCTGTTTCCGCTTTTGCTATTTTAATTACTCGTTTATTTTTTTGGTGGTGAGGAATAAAAAAGAGAGGGCATGTTATATGTCTTTTTAAATATGTGTTATTTTGAAACCTCTTTAATGTTGGATTCTTCCCCAAACCAATAGAGAACATGTGAAAATACCACAAAAAGCTCATCTGTTGTTTTTACATTATTTCCCGATCAGAAAGAATCATTAAAAGTCTCCCCCAAATCCCAAGCTATTCTAAGATTTCTCACTCAACCCTACATGATCCTAAAGTTAAGGGCCTGTCATCAGACTTCAGAGGTGGGTGACCTGAATCCGGGCAAGCCCCTGAGATGGGCTCAAGCTTATACATAAAACACAAAAGTCATATCCAGAGGGAGGACAGGATGGCGCTGCCCTTCACTTTTAATTTCAAAGAATTTCATCTGCAAGCAACTTCCTAAATCCTGAAGCTTCCAGCCACACAAGCTTGCCTGTGTGCTGGTTTCTCTTAGGTGTACAGAGAACACTTTCTTTTCACCCATGTATTCTGTTCTTGTTGGATCAACGTCTATTTTTCAAGCATATTTTAAAATTAAAATTTGAAAAACATTGCATAATTGCAAAAGAGTTAACTTATCCAACACTTTGGAAAGCTGGCAAAAGAACATGTGTACTCCAGTAATTCTCCTTACCATGAGGTCAAAGAGCAAATTTTGCATACATAATACAACTGCAGTTTGTGTTTCCCGAGAGTCGTTAAAGTAACTTGAACTCCAATCTGGGTTTGCTGGTTTAGTCAAGTTTTATTTTGTTTGGGTTGCAGTATTGTGGCACAGCCCAAGTCCCGAGGCAGCATTCCAATTAATGCCTCCAAAGAAAGTGCAAGCCCTTCCTAGGAACACAGTCACAGCTTACAACCTGCCTCTATGATTTCAACTCAGCAGGGACTCTGGTTAAACGACAGTCTGTGGCTATGCTGTGAACCAAGAGGGTTAAAATAACAGGAGTAAACATTTCTGGTTCTAAAAATGAACAAATTCCTACTGTAACCACACTAACTCAGGCTCTGTGAGATTGTCACAAGAGCTCTCTGATTGGCTTGTCTGACTCCACTCTCTTCCAGTAATCCCTCCTGGAATGTTCCATATGTCCAGGACTCCTTTCCAATATCTATCCACCATTCCATTATCTTGTCAAATATTTCTTTGGGGCCATCATAATATGTTGGGGATATAGCAATGAATATAATACACAGAAATCACTCGCCTTAAAGGAGCTTCCATTACCAGTGAGCACACCCCCCATTCCTGCTTAGCTTCACCACTCACAACTGCCTTCAGGATAAGGTTCGACCTGCTCAGGCTAAAAGTCAGTGTAGTGGGGTGTAATAGTTGGTGTATGCACACCAAAATCTACTTCCTTTTTCTTTCAAAGAGCTATACTACATTTCCCACACTCCCTTGCAGGTAAGTGTGACCCTATGACTGAGTTCTGATCAATGGGAGGTAGAGGGTACTAATATAACACACCCACAAGCCTACCCAAGAGAAATTCTTCACACACAATCCTCCATGCTCTCATTTATTCTATTAAGAGTTGACCTACTGAATGGAATAAAGAAAAGGCCTAGTTCCCTGGGTCACCCTATCGATATCTACCCTCAAGATCCCTGTAATGAACTGAAATAAGCAAGAAATAAATTGTATTTTGGTACTGCACAATAGACCTTTATTACATCATAAGTGTACTTTGTCAAGACACCCAATAATCTCTCCAATCTGCCTCCATCACAACTCCAACATCAAGTGAAGATTCCAGAGTTATCTTATTTCTTTATTGCCCTCCAATACATCCCACCTTCCATCTTCTTTATACACACCTTTTTTCCCCTCTGACCTCCATCACTGACCCCTATAAAAATTCTGCTTCATTCAAAGTCAATATCAAGAATCTTTCCACCTGTGAAGTTTTCCTGAGCCCTTCATTTTCCTGGAACCTCCTTCGCCTTTCCGTATCACCTCCCTTCTCCTCTATGCCCCTGTATATTGGACACACACATAATTTTCGGTACATACATAAATGCTTAATCCTACAAGATGAAATTAGATTTATCTCCCAGCTACACTGTCTTGAAGGCAAGAACCAGTCCTATCTGCCTCATATCCTTCAGGAGAGTGAAAGTTTAAAGAATACCTCAATAAAAACTTAGTGAATCAAAAGTGGAGCTGTCACACACAATGAGCTCCAGAATCTGGGTGTTTTCCAGACCCCTTTATAGAATGCTGAGTACATGGCTCTGGAGAGTCTGCATCCCAGATTTATCTTTGTATCTCCTTAGGGTTTGCACAGTCTCACCTTGCATTGTGCACATTTCAAGTATTACTAAATGTTGTGGATGCTGAGATGCCCAAAGCAACATTCAACTTCAAAATGTAAAACTGGTACAAGTCCGACCAACATAATTAAAAATCTAACATTGTATTAAATGTTCAAACATTGCATGATGGTTAAAATACATAGAGACAAACTACTCTATTCTTATCTGGTTGTCAAGTAAAAGAATGTGCTAGAAACTTTCATAATATTTGAGTGTTCTGATTTTCACTATTTTGCTTTTCCTTAGAAAGGCAAGTTTGTCCTCGAGCGAAGGTCATTTATTATAATTGCACATCCAAGTACTTCTCTTGACAGTAGCTGTTTTTAAAACAAAAGTCTGAAATCTATCTCAGGCATATTTTCTGTGCTCTTATTTTGTTTTAGCTGATTCAGTCAAGTACACAATTGCTTTGTGTCAAAGTTTACCCTAGAGCAGCAATTTTGCTGCATAATAAAAATCTGTCTTCCTAAATAGTGTGATGAGCGCAAGATGCTAAAACCACAGCCATGTGCATGTGGAATGCCTCTCCAACCCCTGTGGACCCACTGAGAATGAGGGCTGGAAACTGTCCTGTAGCACGAGACATGGCACTGATCCCTTGATCAGGATGCACAGCCTGGCTCCTAACAGGAGGCTGGGAGCAGAGTTGCTAAACAGTTACCAAAAAACTCTCTAGAATGTGGTGGAGCTGATTCATTGCTAAACAATGCTACAGGCTACCACATTCTACAGAGATGTTTTCTTGTACCCAGTTGTTTTAAAAGAATAGAGTTCTTCGTTTATTCTGAGAAGATGGTAGGAAGAAGGGAGAGAGAGCCTGGAGGGGATATGTAGGAAAGAAATACATCTCAAGTGGGAAGGATTCCTGAGTGGCCCCTTATTCTTATATTACCACAACCAAAGGTTCAAAGCCGACTTGCGAGCAGAGCAACCACTCCGAATTAAAAATTGGGTCCAAAGAGAATCACAAAAAGAAGTAGAAGTCCTTAGCCATTCTTCTTTTTGGCCTAGAACTTTATTTCACTAAACTTTCAGAGCATGACACTTATTTCCAGTCTTGTTACTTGAATTTTCCCATTCTTGACCAGCACAGAACAGAAAAAAAAAAAAAAAAAAAAAAACCTGAAAATCAAAGTGGGAAGTGAAGGAGGCCATTGAGCTGCTGAACTGAGGGAGCAGAGGTAGAGCGGCCAAGGGGACAGAAGACTCCCTAGGAACAAGAAGTGGATGTCA